TAGACTACGTTCTTATTTCAGGTGAGTTCTGTGCCCAAGCAAAACATTTGTTAATCTACTCCAAACCAAACCTATTTGAATGTAAGCGGTGTATTACTCAAATCTGCAGGCAAACAATGTGAGAATGTTTTTGTTCATTTAACTTCAAACTCTAAAGAACAATAAATTACATTACACTTCCTTTTTGTCTCGTGATAAGGGCTTTTTATGGTTTGGTTGATCGCAGATGCTTTTTTTTCCTGGTACAGCTTTACACAAGCTAAATCCACTACAGAGCTCCTTGAGTAGAAACCACCAAATACAATGTCAGATCCTGACACTCACATCTTTGTTTTCTTATGGCACCTACCAAAAGACAGAATTTCCAGAATTCAGAGGTAAAACTCATGCTTCTCATCCCAATGCATCATGAATCATCTCCTTTCACTTTTTCATTTTAAATTACATTCGGATGAGACTTAATGGGATGAGATGATGCACACCTGTTGGGAGCACCATAACCAGGACATTTGACAGTTTAAGGCAGTCTGAAAGTGCTGCTGCTTCAGGGGAGCATTTGATAGTAGCAGCTTTTGACAGTGGAATGATTTCAGGACTTAGGAAGTCAACAAGTGAAATAATGAAATATCAGGAAAACAAGTAGTAGTGACAGAGTAGGATGACAGAAGTCATTGCTTTTCAAGTACTGGGCTAAACTCTGCATAAGCCAGCACAGTTAGAGCCCTTTACAAAGAAACATAAGTGCACAGTCACACGATTTTTTATGATGTCCTTCTATCCTGTCTGCAGCTAGGGCCACAGCTGCAAAGAACTTACAAAAATAGTTAGTGAAGATACTAAAGGGTATTAACAAAGGAGCACCAGAAGACTTCTTACTGCTTTCTACTGATGTTTCCTCTAATTGCAGGATGCATTCTGTTATTTTTAAACCACTGTCATCCTTGCTAATGGTGTGGATTTGAACCTCCAATACCAATTTGGATAGTGATCACATTGCAGTATTTAATTCTGCTTTATGCTTGTTTGAACAAAGACACAAAAAGCAGCCACCAGATGCGAGAGGTGCAAACAAGTTATGCAAGGCTTCACAGGTGACTCAGCAGGTCCAGCCAAGTAGCTTGCAAACAGGCAGCTGTTTCCATACTGGTGGTATTCTCCTTTTCTCAGCGTGGGTCAGGCTGGTTCTTCCACATTTCAGAAAATCCAGTCTTCACTTCTTGAATCTCACCACCTGGATTAGCAAACACTTGTCCTTGCTCTAAAATGGCAAATTCCAGAACAGCACAGAGCAAGCAATGCTTGCTGCTGCTCTGGGTGGTCTGCTATAGGAGGATACATTTATTATGAAGATATTTTCAAAGTGATAAAGTGTATGACACCTACTTCATACCATCAGTCAGTCACAAAATGTTTCCTGATCAGAAATCATAATTGTAGTCATCTACTCTCCTGTGCATCCACCTTAAAGTGTTTCAAGGAAAACACTGTCATATAAGGATGTGGTAGAGTGCCCATCATCAAAGGTTTTCAAAATGTGATTGGACAGATTGCTTATTGCTAGATAATCTCACCAAAGATCACTTTCCCACAAAAGGTTGGACCAGATGATCTCTCAAAAGTCCCTTCCAACCTGGGCTGTCCTGTGATTTAATTAGTGATTGTAGTGGGAAGATATTAAAATTGACTTTGTAGGATCAATGTTGTAGAAAAGCTACGGACTATTCCTGGTGGAATTTCTTCACTTGGAATCAAGTTTTACAGGCTTGGGAGTACCCAAGTACAAGCTGCCATTTGCTTGGTAGCTTTGTTTCCACATTTCTGTAGTCATCCTCATTTGGTATTGGCATTACTGAGGGTGGCTGCAGGCTTGGGAGTGCCACAGGGATCCACATAGTCTGAGTGAATTCATGTACCTTCTCTGATTTATGCATTACAATAGGCCCATAATTGAATCCCAGAGCTGCACCTTATCCCCCAACAGAAGTAGTATTTAAATTGAAAATTATTATCCAGTTATAGCAATAGCCAGAAGCAGAGACTGTAACATACCTACAAAGCTTTAAGTGAATAAATTTCCTGTAAAACAGGTTAACTCCTGCTTGAAGAAAAGTGGCTTAATGGAAACTTAAAATGGTAGATAATGAAATGTAAAGGAAAGGCTGCATGGGACCAAAGTACTGCTGGGAGAAATGTAGGGAAAACAAATCCTACTTACAAATGTGAGATGTCTAGTCCTAACAGATTGTAATGTGAATTCTGTAAAATACCAACAGTATTTCATGACATTTCAGCGCTTTATTGTCAGAAAAAGTCAGTCTGCAGAATCAATTTGTCCTTAACACCCAAGAGAGGTGGCATACTCCCTCGGTTTTTTACATCACTTTATTTCCTATCCCAGGAAACTATGTAATGATGGACAAATGCAGCATGTGCAGACCCAAGACAACCTGCAGCTCTAACAATAAAATAGAAATTAAAACTGGTGACTCTGATACCAGTATAATTCAACAATCACAGCACCAAGTCTGGGTGAGACCTGGCTAAAGACTTCTTGCATGCAATTATGTAAAAATTATACTTAAACACCTATCACATCCACCAATCAAGCCAAGCATAAGGACCTGTAACTCACAATTGTAACCACTTCAATTAAAAAGTTTTTGAGTGAATTGCCTTGGTCCTGTGGAAATATTGATGACACTTAATTATGAATGCAAAATCAGTAACAGAGGCATATAATAGGGGTACCAATGGTTCTGAAGCTAAAGAGTAATTCAAGTGTTTAAAGAATGGAATTCAATTTGTTAACTGCAGTAACCTATTTTGCAATTTCTAATCTAACAGCTTCCTGGTTTTCTCTAACTCCCCCTTTTGACTTTCTGCATTTTCTGTGTCTCCAAGTAGCACCTGGACAGGTGGTTATCTCTGCTGCTTTCTGAGCCCAGGAACTGCTCTTAGCGACTCACAGCAATTTACAGGCAGTTTGGCACATTCTGCAACTTCTTCCCTGTATCCCCTACTCCCACCTCCACCTTCTCTGAAAGCTTTTCAGTTTACAGCTACTAAGCAGTTAAATGTAACAATATTTGCCTAAAATATATAAATATATCTGAAGTTAATACCGTCCTTTTCAGAGTTTAAGTGTGCTCAGATCTTTCTGTATACTAGAAATTTATGGCTGGAAATTTCAAAAGCAACTCAAGTGTCATCACTAAGACATGACAAAAAAAAACAATCCAAAGTAATGGCCTTCGAAGATGCTAACTGCAGGAGTTCAGTCAGATCACATTCATTCATATGGTCACAGATCAAAGCATTTCATGCTGCTATGAATATGAAATCAGATGTCTTCTCACTGTGGTACGCTGGTTTTCAAATGAACTCATAAAAAATAGTGAAAAAGCTGACCATGTCCACTTTAGTAGCTGAAAGTACACTTCACTTCAGGAAACAAAAGAATACAAAAATAAGGCATTTAATTGAGAAAAAAAAAATTAGTATCTTACAAAAATTTTATCTTGCTCAATTCTAGAACCCACAACAATATTAATGAAATCTTACAAGATAACTAATACAGTGTTTATTTAGAAGCAGCATAAATCCAAATAGAGCATAAAATTCTGAAGTGTTTATTGTTACAGTTTAAGTGCATATATTATTTCCATAATTTTGTGCTCTTCCACAGGAACAGACATAGAGCAGCTACACAATTTGCTTTTTTCAGAAAGCTTTTACTACTTTGAAATCTCATCTTTATAATTGGGTAATACAGTCAAGTAGTTCCAGTGATTAATTCCAGATTTATATAAACTAGGTTTCAAAAGAGTAAACTCAGTATGGAAGGTGTTAAAGTTTTTTAATATTCCCATAAAAGGTGAAAAAATAAAAAGTCAATTACATTAAGACAGGCAATATACACAAAACACTTGTAAAAAAAAAACCCCAGATGTTCAATACAAAATATTAATCTATCTCTAACAATTAAAGGAAAAGCTTTTCATAAGTTAAAAATAAGGGTCCATGCTTCTGAATATCAACACTGAGAAGTTATTATGAGGCTATCTCTAAAGTTTAAATACAATCTGTACTGGCTACATTACTTTCACAACTTTTATAAATGAATGATGGAAGACATAATTACCTAACACAGGAGCTTGAGCATCAAAAATTAAATTTATATTTTTAAACGGTTTATAAGTGTGACTTCTCCCATTTGCTACAAGGGTAACATCTGTAGCTTCTTTGGCTGAGGCCATCATCTCTAAATAGAAGCCCCAAACAAAATGGGAAACATTTCTGCTGTTGAGAAATAACTGAACAGTATAGTTTGGTTAGAATGCCAAACACTATGGAACAATTCCATGCTTATAGAAAAAAAGCATTCTCTTTTTAAAGAGATGAATATGAATATATAACTGTCATCTTTAATTTTAAATTATTTGTTAAGTACTACAGTATTGACAAATCTTAAATTTATATAAATTTATATAAAATAAATATCATTAGTTTTGAAATAAAGATGTCAAAAAAGCATAGAAAATTTTATTATTCTTACTGGACAGCTAGTGAGTTTCTACTTTAAATTTAGATTTTTGCTTCAAATGTTATGTATGGATCATTTTTATCAAACCTATTCTCAGGGAAGTGGAGATACTATTAGGATAGAGAACAGGCAACAAGGCCAAATTCTCTCTTCCCCGCCCAAATACTTCCAACAAAAGACCTTACAAACTGTAGATAATGAGAAATACAAGAATTCACCCACTTCACCCATGTTACCATTGCCTATATAAAGCTGCAGTGTATTTTGTGTCTAGCTTGGAGAATAGCCACAAGGCTCCATCACACTGATTGATGTTGATTAGACTTTTATTTCCAGTTTCTTGCCCTTCCAGGTGCTGGACACTGGAGAGAATAGACACCAACACTTCAGCTCCATGAATGGAGGATAAATGAATCAAGTGCTTCACCTCACTTGGCAATGACCTACATCCCCCTGAGGAGCAGCAAAAATATTATTGACAAAGCACCTTCCCAAGAGATGCTGATTGTCACATGAGGTTTACAGCCTTAACAACTTGAGATGGAAAATCCTTCAGCTTCCTGAATGTTTCAGATCCATCTCTTAGAAGAGAGTTCAACTGGAACTCTTTGGAGTCTCTGAGCAAGACTGAACATAAATTAATTGGATGCAGAAAAGCCTAAACCATTTCAACCCCTTGGCCAGAAAAACCACGCTGTGCCTGGAAGCACCAGAGCAATGATTACAGAAGAAAAAAGATTTACGGCATTGTTGTCCAATATAGGTTTCCCAGATATGTGTTTGGAGTCTTTTGTTTCATGGTTAACAACCATGCCAATTGTCTGGTCAAAACCTGGAAAGAGAGAAAATCTTCATTTTACAAAGCCAATAAAGATGAAGAGAAACTTAGTAACCAAGTATATACACATTCCTAAATGTATTTTACTATAATAAACAAATCAAAAACCGGAAAAGGACCAACCACCCTTGCTCCTTGTCATTACTATGCAAATTACTTTTGCTCCCTTTGTCCTTCATGCTGCTATTTCTGTATTCTTTCCGTTAAAAAATCATATCCTCAGCCCTTCTTGAAGTTCAAATCCAATTTTACATTAGATTGGGAGAAAGGGGGAAAAAAAAAGAAAAAAGAAGACTCTTACCACTGTATTGCATAGTAGCTCCCAAATATGAATCAACAATTGATCCCAGCAGGCCAGCTGCTGCACCAAACACAATAATGGGCCATTGTGGAGCAGATATTTCCAGATCAGTCACAAAAACAAGTTGAGTTATAAAGTAGGCTATACCTACTGTCATACCTCCAAGCAAACTTGAGATCAGGCCCACTGAAGTAACTGCTCCATTAGTACCTAAACCAAATAAAATATATTTGATTTACAAACTGGTTTCAAAAGACTTGTATTAATTGAAATGTTTTACATGAAATCAAAACTGTCCATAGTGATTTCTCCTCTTACATCCACAAGGCTCTATTACTGCAGCTTTTCACAATTCCCATTATGCTGCTGAGCAGCTTAACCTGTACTGTTACTGCCTGTTCTTACTCCTTTACAGTCTCTAGGACTAGTTCTCTAGAAATATTCACCAGCATTAAATTAAATAAAACTAGACAGCACACCTCTCAATGTCACCTGGTATTTGTCTGCTCTAGGTGGTGGTGGGCTAATAAAAAATTTGCTTAAAAAAAACCAGACCTTGAGATGTGCATATTAAAGCAATGCCTTCTTTCAGAAGTAGTATACTAAGATGTGTTTCACCAACACATTTAAAAGTAAAAGAACCAAATCCATAGACAGATGTTTGATAGTTCATTGAATAAAAATCTGAAGAATGCATATAAAGAAAACAAAATTCCCAGGCATTTAACTCCTATCCAACAAGATTTGTACCTCTGATCAATTTGCCAGCAAGACTCAAAAAAGGCGTACTGCTTTACAGCAGCAGTGACATCCACCATGGAGACAACATTTGACAGACAGAAAGTACACTTTATTCAGCCTTGGTAGGATATTAAAGTAAGAGTGATTTGAGTTAAGAAGCAAAGTAAGAGCGTCTCTGATGAATATATATGTATTCTACTGATTAAAATAATGCCTGGAAAATATAAGTTGATAATTTGTATTCTTCATATTAGCAACGTAAACTCTTTTACTATTGTCAGAGATTAGAAGTGACAGCATTCAAGATGATTTTAGCTCTGTGGTTGCTATGCTCATGCCTCTCATCAAGAAGATGCAGAAGAAACACAGTTGACTATATTCCATTTCAGAGAATGCATTCTTGGTAACATTTTCTAATCCCACATTTCTGGTACTTGTTTTTCTATGTCTTTCTTGGACCTTTTCAATTTGGATGCATAATTCAAAACAGATTAACAAAATATTCAGAACATATGGAAGAAGTAACAATTACTTACCTACTGGAACCTGTTCCCAGGTTGTTATCAATCTTGGTTTGCTTTTACTCATAACACTACCAATCTCTGAAGCCCATGTATCACCAGCAGAGCATGCCAAAGCTCCCAAAAGGGATAAGCACATCCATGATGCTGTGTATTCCTTTGAAAAGTCAATAGGAATTTCACCTGGTCCATTTTCTATCATATATAAGAGAGCCAGCTCAGTTGGAACACCACCATTACAGAATACCTGAACCCAATTCCTCTGTCCACCTGAAGTATAAAAACTGAATTTTAGTAATTTCAGGTAACAGCAAAAGCAAAAATAACACATATATAAAGTTAAATTTTAAAAGACACACATTTAAAACAGAAACTACATGGCAATTCATTAAACAGAACAGAAGCAAAAAGCAAAGTAGCCTGCTAATATTCACAGGGATAGGGTTGAGTGGAGTCTCTACAGTGTTCCCTGTTCTAGATGTTACATCTCATCTGACCCTTTGAAAGGAACAAGAATGTGCAGTATTTATTCTCCACAAGGGATCTGAAAGAATTAAAGTATTTTCGCTTACCTTCTTTGTATTCTGAATCTATTTGCTTCTTTAAATCTTTTCTCCACTTAGTAAGTTTCGAAGAAGTAACAAAAAATACAAACAAAGAAGAGAAGAAACTGTAATTTGCGACTGTAAGGATAAATCCGACCACCAGCCCTATGAAGGAAAAAGAAGTATATAAACTTCCTTCTAGTAACAACGGTTGCTTTGCAAAGCAAGTAAGTATTTCAAGTTTTCTGAACATGAAAAGTATCTTCCTGATAAACCTAAGACAATCATACAATAAGAGAGTCTAATGCTAAATTACTAATTTCATTGTAACTGCTGAAGCACGTGATTTTTAAGACCTTTTGCCACAAATCAGTAATACTGTGTGAAAATAAAGAGAAGCAGTAAGATCCCCAGAATCCAAAGAATATATAATTGAAATCCAAGTACTCTGCCTGAAGAATATTATTATTTTTATAAGGAGCTGATATATAGCTGTGGCTCTACCAGCAAGTTTATCATCAGCCTGGGCATCAAATTGCACATCCAAGGTCTCTAAGATAACCTGTAAAACCATCCTGCATATCTTAGCAGATGCTACTTCTCTATTCATTTCTTTCCTTTCTTTTTTATTTTTATTCTACCTCTTTATTTATGTAAATTTAGTTTTTTGAAAGCATTTGATCTCCTTGATTAAATTGCAATTCTTTTTTTATGTCCCCTTTCACAGGGGAGGCCTAATTTCACTCCTCACCATGAGATTACAATTCTAAATGACTGAAAGAAAAATGGGTGCATTTAAGAGAAAATGCCGGTATAAACTGGCTAGCAGAGCTGTTCAGAAGTCAGAACATAAAAGTCAGAAAGATGTTTGTCAGTGTAGAAAATGCTTCCCTTAACTCTCACAGACAGAAGATTTACAAAATGGGTGACATGGGAAGGAAGGATTTGAGGCCCTGTTTTACTCCAGTGATTCAGACAATGTCACAAGAGAGGTGAATCACCTCACCCAGTAATGTTGCATCAGATTTCAATAAACACTATTGTACGCTATGCTGGGCTTTTTATCATGTGGTCTAGAAAAACTTTCCAGAAACAGTCATTTGTTCTTAGTGAACTACAGATTTAATTATCTTACTTTTGTCATGCCAAAAAATGCCTAGAACTGCTTCTATTACAGAAAGGAGAACCATACAGAAAGGAGAACTGATTTCCTACCAAGCAGGAAGGCTGCTGACACTATCAGTTTAGGGTCTTTCTTTACCACTACCTCTGCCATTTCTTTGTTTCTCTGTGAATCCTTCTATATGGTAAACCAAACCATGTGATTTAACTGCACACTGTACTGAAGTTTAAAAGGATCTTCTAGGTTTATATAAATATAATAATATTAATCAAATCAATTACAAACAGTAGCACAGGGTTAACCTGACTGTTGGAACAGGCATGAAAAAAAAACAACCCAGCATGAATTTTGGGTATGTCTGCTTACATTTATACTTTATTGTAACAGAACTAGATAATGTCTTAAACTGCAAACAGTAAAAAGGACCTTCAGTTACTAAATGTTTAGTTTAAGTCTCAGAAAAGACATACCTCCCAATGCACCACTGTGATCAAGGCTCTTCTTCTTAAAACCCTGTGTAGCAATAATTAGTGGGACCAAGACTGAAAAAAGCCAGCGCCATGGAGAAATGGGTCGTAAAGTACCTGATAAAGCAAGTAACAGGGTTACAGATAATCCTCATAAAGCTTTTTTATGTCCTCATGTCTGAAAAGTCATTATTTCCTGGTATATACTTAAATTTCTTAATAGAGATTAAAACTTTTTATCCTTCAGAAGAAAGATATTTATATGGACAGAAGGACAATATATCTGCAATTATCTACTCAATTTTTCTATTCAGCTATCAAAAGAGAATATATTTCATGAACTAAAATTAATTACCAAAAAAGAGCAAAATATGAAAAGAAATAAATATGGTGATATTTTTCATTCTAAAAGGGATACATGAACTTCAGAGTCCAACATCTGAATATACTGTGACAAAACTCCACTACCAAAAGAAGCCAATCAAGACAGTCTGCTTGGCGAAAGTGAAAGTAGTGTGACCACTTTATGAAACATCGTTCCTTTCAGTTCTTCTGACCTTGATGTAAGGCTTTTTGAAATATACTTTGAGCTGATGACTATCTCGGCAAGATTTGAAGTGACAGTTTTAGTTTGAAAAAGCCACAAACTTCTAAAAGCTAAAGCCAATAGTTAACGTAGGTTTTGAAATGAAAAAAAAAATAAATCTTGAGAAGTTATTTATTAAATCTCCTATACAAATACAAGACATCACAAATCTTGCATTAAAGTAAGTCTCGATCTTGTAAAAGAAAGATTTCACACAGGCACAGAGGCTTGTCTTGCTGCAAAGATAATCATGATGGTTTTCAACAAGAACTTTGTGCCATCAGTACCCCAACCTTTGCACAAACACAGACTCCCTGGCGCAAAGCAGGACAAACACGTCTGTGAAATCACAGTAATACACACATTGCAACATAAAGACTGACACGAAAACAATTCTATTCTGTGTACTGAAAAGCCCCAAAGCCATGGTAGGTGAGCAAGAGGGTCTTCCAGCCCAGGGCTGAGTCAGAAATTCAGAAGACAAGCACCAGCTGTGTATGAAGAGCCCTCCAGTGCTGTAGCCTGGTATTGCTTACCACAAACTAAGGCAGCTCTTGGTGCAAACTTGAGTGTAAGCAGTACTGGAACACAAAGGGGTTCCTTTTGCTTGGCTAACAAACAGAATTTTCATCTCTTCAAGGTCATTTCTAAACTAGCCATTTTGTATTTCCTTGTCGGAGAGAAAAGTATTTGCATTAAATTACTACTAAATGTAAGCAGGTAAGACTAAGCATCTATAATAAAACAACAAATGTGTTCTTTGACACTCTGGCTTCACTAACATCTGGCCCACTGTTTGGTGCTTAAGAATTACTGTAAACTATACATTAATAAAAGTATATTTGTAGTATTTTAGTATTTATATTAAGGACTGTGAATTTCACTGCTTTTATAGGCTGAACCATTTTAAGTCCACTAATTACTGCATGCTTCATTCACCTCCTTGAAAAGCCAAGGTCTTTCCACAGTCTCAGGCAAATGAACAACAGAAGTTTTACATCCTTCTTGTTCCATAACCATTGCCTACAAAAAGGAGGATTTGTCCAGTCTTCTCCTTTCTACCAGGCCTGCTTCACCTGATACCAGGTCTCTCCACACTATACTAATTCCCACTCACCCAGTAAATTCCCACTCACATAAGAGAACAGGGACTAGAATATCCTAATTGTCAGAAAAGCTATACCTTTAGAGATCAGACACACATAAATGAAGTTGCATGTTTAAATCCAACTTGGGTAGCTACAAATGACACAAATAAAAGCTGGTTGTGAAGCCTGTTTCTGCATACATTCTACACGTCTGGCATCTCACTACAAGCCAAAATAGAAGTATCCAGACAACACACATTTAATGCTGTACTAGAACTAACCTATCCTAAAACCTGAAGCACTGAAAAACACTGAGCATAGACATGCAACTGCCACTACAAAAGTCAGCTTATACTGGTGGGGTATTTATTATAGCTTCTTCTGGATCCAGGGTGACACTAGGGAGTTGAAGGTGTTTATGCTGCATCCCTAGGCACTTTCAGCAAGACTGCAGTGACATTGGAGCTCTTCCTGCATCAAACTGGCTGGGGTCTGAATGATAAGTCACTACCCGTCTTGGAAAAGCAGTTAAATTCTTCTAGGCTTAAACTTATACTGCAGGCAGTATCAGCTGCCTTTGCACACTGCTGTAAGAATGGTCTTAGAGCCCAAAAGAGTGACTACAGAGAGGACTTGTGCTCCTACAACTACACACAGCTAAGTCACAGCCAGCCTGAGCTGTCTGAGCAGAATGCTGAGCTGACAGTACATACCTCAGCCAACCACTCCATGCATACATCCCTATCTTATACCATCTCCTGTTTCTCTGTTCCTCGACTAAGGAAGTCTTCCTGCACGCTGCAGATGTCACTGATTCCTAAAACAGTTTTGAAAGCTGGCGCATTCGTCCCGTGCTGTCACGTACTTTCCCTACTATAGAAAGACCTCAGTCAGCTCGGTCTTTCTTTTCACTTCTTAATTTTTATTTGCTTTCTTTCGGAGAAAGTAATCAAAAAGAACACCAGAATTTTAAATTGTACGTGATCCCTGGGCGGAGCTGCATGTAAGCGGCTGTCAACATCTTCTAAACCACTATCACCTACTGGAAGAGGTGAGGTTATCAGCTCCACTGACGAAAGAAGGGGCTGGGCACATCCCTCTTCCCATTTTCTGTCTCCTGCCTAGAAAGGCCGGAGGGGAAGGTTCGCCCGTGGCCTTGCCATGCCAGCCTCTCCCGGCCTTTCGACTCACCGTAGTACGTACTTGCAGTCATGGACACGATCCAGAACGCTAACGAAATACAAATGAGCAAGTTCAGGATGACCATATTCGCCATCATCTTGAGGTAGTCTCTGAAGAAATCCTCCTGGTAATAGGACATGGGAAGCAAGAAGGACAACACCTGATGGGAAAACACATGGCGAAGGGCATCAGCGACACCGCCACCACCTCCTTCTCTTTCTCCTTCTCCTCCCGCCCGGCCGGAGCAGCGGCCGCGCCCGGCCCGCACCGCACTCGGGCCCCTGCCGGGAGGCACCGAGGCGCTCATGGAGAGGCTGCTGCGGCCACCCCGGCCGGCCCACCCCGAGCTGCGCTGCACTGCACGGGGTGCCCGGAGACACTCGCAGCGCCCGGCCCCGCCACCGACCTGCTCCCCGGGGCCGCGGGCACCGCCCCCATCCCGGCCCGCGGGCGCCGCCCCCATCCTGGCCCGCGGCCGCCCCGCGCATGCTCCGCGGGGCCGCCCGCGCCTGCGCCGCGGCGAGGGGGCGCTGCGGCTGCGGCTGAGGCGGGCCCCGCTCAGTGAGGAGCTGTCGCTTCCCTGCGGCCGGGATGCGGCGGCGGCCGGGATGCGGCGGCGGCCGGGATGCGGCGGCGGCCGGGATGCGGCGGCGGCCGGGATGCGGCGGCGGCCGGGATGCGGCGGCGGCGTTCTTCCGACGGATGCTGCCAACGGAGATCCAGTTTGCGAAATAAAAGCGGGAACGACACGCCTGTGAAAGGCATGAAGTCTGTGGATAATTAGTGAGACCAATGAGTACCTGGATGAGGTTTGAAACTTGTTAGAGCATTTCGAAGTTCATTAACTGCAGAAGGAAGAGACTTGAAACGTTTCCTAAAGTTGACTTGGGATGAAAACATGCCAAACCTGCTTGGTGGCTTTTCTTGGGGCACACCAGAATTACTCCCAAAACACTCCACTTGTAAATAAGCTGACATTAGGTACGGGACGGACTGCACAGCTCCCACTAACACACTACAGAGGCTTTGTCAACAAGACAGAGGTGAAACTTCACAACTTTTCAAAAACCCATTGTTTTGAGGCAGCAGCCTCAAAATAAACGAGAAATAATGACATAAATAAGCATTCGGGCATCTCAGGAGATAATGCTGATGAAGCATTTATGTATTCAGCACTTATGTAGACCAAAACCTTCAAGTTGTACAAATGAGTCACCTCAGGAACATCAATAACCTCAGGTGGTTTTTTCTCATGGATTTGTAGCAGCAGCAGCACAACAGAATATTTACTTAATTTTTCAGCAAGGGGCAGAGTAATACAAAAAAGGACAGTAAATGGTCTTTGATATACAACAGAAGTAGTTTAAAAGCTAGAAAATTCAAGGGAGTAATCTTAATTTAGGAGATGATAATTTTCTTACTGAATTTAGGAATCTTTCTGGCTTGTGGCACCCATTTATTTTTGAGGCATGTTCTCTTATTTTTCATTCATCATCTGGAGCAGGTGTCTGTCAAGGTGTGAATACAGTCCATATGTTCTTTTTCTCTCAGAAAAAGAACATGATTATGGATGCTAAATCTGAACCAGAGTGCCTGTACAAATTACAGGCCGCATAGCTCCTCAGGCTTGCCTGAGAAAGTAGTCTGGGAAAAACATGAGAAGGAATTAAAACAATCCTCAGGGACACAAAACAGCCTTGCAGGTGTTGTTTTCTATTCCTTGTTTTCCTTGCAGGAGAAAGTCAGGGGGGTGGTGAGCCCCACTGACCAATGATGGTGATGTAGCAGTTTACTAACCAATAAGAGTTTCCTTTCTGTACTTTCCACGTATCTGTCTATAAAACAGGCCTGAAGTAATAAACTAGGGATTTTCCCTTGTTCTGACTCCTTGAGAGTCTATGTCGTTCTTTTCGCCGTTCCTAATTAGAACGACACATGATTATTTTCTCTCATAAACTTGGATATATTTTCATATTGTTGTGATAGAAATACTCAGTTATGACTCAGAGCTGCTTCTTCAAGTCTAAGTTAAGAAACTTCTTAAAAACTTACAGATACCTGGTTTTAGAAAGTAGGCCTATTCCAGAGGCTAAAGTTAATACTTGGGTGTTCATAAGGTATTTTCTCTAGGCAATTAGAGACAAAACTTGGAACAGGCACTTTAGACAAGGCCTTATCTTATTTTCTGTTATATTTATTGGTAACAAATACTGGTAACACCCAAAATTTATCTCAAGTAGAAATACCTAAAACAGTAATGCTACTGTAGGAGTACTGACTTTGGTAAATCTAGTCTTCCTTCTCACCTCCCAAATTTCCATTAAACATCCATCTGAGGTCTGAATTTGAGATCTAAGAATCAGAGACTCAGTAGCTGGGCTGCCTTGTAAGAATGGGACACCTTTCAAGACTAGCACTGACATGACATTGCTTAGGTTCTTCTGCCAAAATCTAGTTGAGATTTTCAACCAGAACAAGATCAACCCTACTTAAACTGGTGGCAGAACAAGCAGTGGCTTGTTCTGGTATAACCAACTCCCATAAACTTATTCAAATACACCCTTAACTGTAATAAATTGTTTTATTTAATTTACTGCTTACTTTTTGTTTTCTAAACTGTAACAGACTGATGCTGGAATTTCTGGCAGAGAAACAAATGTTCCTGCAGGAGCCCTATCTGTTATCTGTGGTTCTATAAAACTGTGGGACTGTGATTAATGGCAACACACAAGCTGGTGTGAAGAGGGGGCAGGTTTGTGGAGCTCTAAAGGACTCTTCATCTTCCTTCATAGATCCCATACCCATGTGAAGTAGCACTTGGCACTGATTTAGGGACATACCAGATTATTGCACTGGGTTATCTACAGACCTTGCATTTGGCTTAAAGCCAAAGGGGCTGCTGCTGCTGGAGTTTACCTGAGCAAGAACAGCAAAAGGTAGCATAGCTCTCCACCCTTGGTGTAAGAAAGGTGGTTCTGGTCAGTAAATGTCTAACATCCAGTGCATGAATGCTGACTTTCACTCCCTTTTCAGCTCTTAGTCTTTTGTTAAATGTGGCTTCATAAATTCATAAATGTGGCTCTTCCATTGTTTCTGATTGCCAACAAATTTTCCTGCAGTAGGTTGGTACACATTAAATGTCACAAGTAGATTAGAAAACAAGAAAGAAAAGCACACAAAATTAGACTTCTTTCTACATTTGGAAGCTGAAAGAAGTAGCTACAGTTTTGAATGTAATGTCTACAATAGCTCTGTAACTGCCCCATATATTGTGTTTAAATTCCTCTTTTCTAAATGTTGTCCCTTTTTTTTCACTACTTCCTGTAACAATGTTAATAATAATAGCAACAACATCGTCTTTAATTAGTAAAAGCTAGGTTTTAAAAAAAATTAAATGGCCATCTAGATGCTTATAGTATTGTGAATACAGAATGAATGTATTTAAAAAGACATCCTGAATCAGTCAGAAAAGCACTGTGTATACTTAATACATGCAATACATTAATTTCATAATCAGTTTTTACTTATATCCCTTCCCTCATTCCTTATTTACACCTAATAGTAGTGATAAGCTCGATAATTAAAAAACCAGCAATTAACAGTTGCTTACGGCATATAGATCTGAAAGCTTTTCCTCACGCTTTCCCATCCAAATTCATACATGGAATAAGAAAAATATGAGAAGATTAAATTTTAAGAAATTGGAATTATAAGCTACCCAATATTTAGAAGAAGAGTTTCTTCTTACTTTTTCCCTAAATGTATAGGATGCAAAGCACAGCCAGTGCAGAGTCTAGGAGAAAAAAAAAGTAAGTATGATTTAATAAGAGGCAGGAATGTGAGATGATTAAAAGCAGTGCAACAGAAAGAAGATAATAATGTTACTGTACACAGCATGCTAATAACTCTTTAACACTCATTCTTTTCCTAGGAATTTCATAGATTTGCCATTATACAGCATAACATTTCTAAACTTTTGAGACAATTTTAGAAGTAGGCTTTCTGCCTTTTTTTGTATCTCTGAGATAGAACTTTCCATTTCTCTTCACCACTTAGAACATTATTCATATTTATGCTTGATAGAATGTATTATGAATAATATAGCTTGAAAGTTAAATACTAATTTAAACATCTTTTTTTCTTTGTTGTTAATCTTGTTTTCTCAATAACCAAAATCTGATTGAAGACAAAATACTATTCAATACATGAAATTAAAACCCTGTAAACATTGTTGATATTGTATTAAGTATAGCTGTTCACAAGGGCCTTGAATAATAGCCACACTCTTAGAAAAGACAACATTTTACATGTAAAATTTTATGCTGATGGTGTATTTAGATAGCTACAGAAAACAGATGGGGAAAAGTTAGACTGCTGGAAGGGAAAAGTAATACTGCAGATAAATATTCATCTTAAGTAGAGCATTCATAATTAGTAGTTGCCTGTGAAAATACCAACCAAATTGCAAACAGTAATTTTCATACCAAAAGATGAAAATGCTATACAGATGAATTCCTAACATTTTTGAGACAGTTAAAAATGTCAGTGCTTAACACTATAGCAAAACTATTCATACCAGGATTTGCATAGTGGACTATAAAGCAGCAAATGAAGAATAAATATCCAAATTGCTTACCAAAAAAAACCAGAACTTTGACTGAAGGTTTAAGTATTACATTAATTAAATATGGATGGATAGGCTTTTGCTTTATGTTAAATGAATTTATCCGAGAACATTGACACCAATTAAATTTATTCATAGTAGCCTAATTGTCCTTTTTCCAGTCATTTATTACAACTGACCCACCTTTTAACTATGTGTTTATGCTGTGTTTTATTTTGAAGTAAAAGAATTTCCAACAAGGATGTCTTGTTTTCCACCAGCACCTGGGAGACATAACAAAATACAGGGCTAATAACCCTTTGGAGGGTCTCCAGTGGGGCAGGTCCAAGGGTGGGGTCCAGGGCAACCAGTCTCCCATTGGACGTACTAGCTAGATATAGTAATTAAACTTATAAAACTTGTGAAAATTTGATGCTGCATGTGCGCATAGGGATAATCTGTGCACCTGAAAGCTTTCATTAAAAGACTGTTCTTTATGTTATTCATTCTAATATTGTTTGGAAAGTTTTTCATCTGATTTTAGGCAACAATAGGTTAGCAGGAGAGCACCTGAAGAGCAGCACAAAGGAATTCCAGCTACCCCAGCC